CCCTTGGGGGCGGGGGGGAGCCATGGGCCTGGCACGATGATAACTGCGTTGCCAAAATTGGTGTCTTTTTGTAACCCCAAACGACTGCAGACGGCACTGATGTGGCGTCATGTGACGGAACTTATAAAAACAACAACATAATGAAGACGTTCGATATATGATTCGCAAGAAAAATAGCAATAATGATTGCGATAATACCGTACCTACGATATGATCATGAAAGCCACCGATATGGAAGGCTCCGGGAATGGCGACTACCTGAAATTATCCAACGTGTACCTAAAAGTGTGGCAGCTTGGGCTAGTTGGTATGGCATGACGATAGTTATAGCGCGAGAACACAACGACGACACAGAGACAAGAAGGACACGAAAGACACGAGCGCTAACTTCCAACTGAGTTTATTGCGCAGAGCACGAAAATATATAGAGGAGACAGTGACCATGTGATAAAAACCATATGGCACAAGAGCAGAACATGAGTAAGAAAATCAAAAACAACTGCCATATGGTTTTTATCACATGGTCACTGTCTCCTCTATATATTGTCGTGCTCTGCGCAATAAACTCAGTTGGAAGTTAGCGCTCGTGTCTTTCGTGTCCTTCTTGTCTCTGTGTCGTCGTTGTGTTCTCGCGCTATAACTATCATCGTGTACCTAAAATCAGATGCACACGGGCCAAGCGTTTCGGCCTCCACCGAATTGCGGCCGCCGCAGCCGGGATTCGGTTCAGCGGTTTTCAGGTCAGCAGTGTAGCCCCGTAGACATGTAGACCACCGCGGCAGGGGATAAAGTGCATGTGTACGTCTTTTCAGTATGTATATTTGTTTTAAATGCTAACTTGCGCCGATGTGCAACCGGCCTCAGAACCACGTTGTGAAGCAAGAGATGCACAGCAAGAAAAAGGCACTGAAATCGAACGGAAACAAGTACAAGTCAACACTTCTCATCTTGACTGTGCTTCAGCGTTGTAAAAAAATAAATAAAAACAAATATTCCAACTTTCTTTTCGCGTGGCTTGCCCTGCGCTTCTATTTGCAAAATGGTGCATGGTGTGTTGGTTCTGGTGAATGCGTGCCATGGGTGTATTATATACATGATAAATGCCTGTTGCTGTCAAACTTAGGGGATGCCCCTCTTCTCAGAGGAAAGAAAAAGAAAAAAATGAGATAAATCTCACCAGTACCCATGGAAAAGCGCAGCTCTCACGGAATGAAAGTCTTCGTTCTGAGTACGGAAAGGTGTGCGTTTTTTGAGAGGAGAGAGAAATGCGCTTATCATTCGTCCTGTTAATTCCTTTCTTCTTGTTTTTTTTTTTTTTGCACATCTGAACTTATGTGACATTAAACTGCTGCTATAGTGCTTCAGGGGTCCCACTCACTGGTTTACGCACATTCGTTAGGCTCATAGGTGCAAAAAAAAAATAAGAAGAAGAAGAATAAGACACATATAGGCATGGCTTCTGAAGAGCCAACCCCTTTTTTATGTTCGGAGTGGTACGGTAACTTTCACGACTCCTGAGCTTGTGAAAGCAGGGGTTGTTATCGTGTCGCAAGATATAAACTATTTTAAAAAGTCGGCCTCTAATGGGAGAGAAATAAAAACTGTGGTGGTGATGAAATCGCTCACGCCATCTCCACGCATAGCAAGGGCCGTGCTTTGTAGACCATTGATTGATATGTGGGGTTTAACGTCCCAAAACCACCATATGATTATGAGACGCCGTAGTGGAGGGCTCCGGAAATTTAGACCACCTGGGGTTCTTTAACGTGCACCCAAATCTGAGCACACGGGCCTACAACATTTCCGCCTCCATCGGAAATGCAGCCGCCGCAGCCGGGATTCGATCCCGCGACCTGCGGGTCAGCAGCCGAGTACCTTAGCCACTAGACCACCGCGGCGGGGGCCTTTGTAGACCACCAACAAGAGACTGCACGGGGCAGTTCATGGCAACCAATGGCGTCTTTTTTTTTTTCTCTCATGATTTTCACTTGGGCTTGTGGCGTCCAGGACTGATCATGATAAGGACATCGGATATGGCTAGGAAAGTTCTTACAGAAAGTTTCCCATTTCAGCGGGCGAATATAGATGTTATATACATCACTTAAACGTACCATTTATTCACACGAAGTTCTTTCAAATCCCCCGCCTAAGCACCACTGGACCCGATGTTAAGACGTTTCAGTTTAATTTAGCGCACAGCGCATTTCAGTTCTTTACGAATACATTTTCTGACATAATCTAATGTCTCTAGAAAATTAGGAATGACTCAAAAGTTAGGCCAATAGTAACGGATAACCAATACTGAATCAAGTCACCCTGTCCCAATGTTACTATAGAAAGGATACTCTATAGTAACATTGCCCGGTCTGTCATGCATTCCACAAAAATGACTTAAAGACGAAAGACTTCTTACTTGGAAGGGTAGTGCTAATGGACATCGGCTATCAGGAAGGCGCACGGACACGTAGACAGAAGCACTTCCTCCCCACCATCCTCTGTCATATTGCCCCCTTCCCTTTAACAAGGTATAAATAAAGTTGTTCATGCATGAACTTCCATCTCGTCCAAGAAACAGAAGTCTACTTTTTTGAAGCATTTTGCACCTGACGTGGTCTGGCGCTTCATCCGAGTTATGTCCACTCTTGACCAAGCGAATATATGCCGTGACGTCATGTAATATAAAGATTGACGTCACAGATGGCGCTTTCTGTGATCACATTACACCTTTATGTACCGTTAACGTGGACGCCAACGAACAATTTCACAGTTTTCATGAAGCATAAAATCATGTATAACACGACTGTATTTTCGATTCATAGGCGCCGCTATCTTAGACTGATAAGCGATCGTTTTTCTGCTTTCCTATGTAATAATATGTAAATTATCATGATCATGTAACGCTGAATATGCCAGCCCAAGCAAGCTGCACCGCCGCGGTGGTCTAGTGGCTAAGGTACTCGGCTGCTCATCATGTCACGGAATCGAGTCCCGGCTGTGGCGACTGCATTTCTGATGGAGGCGGAAATGTAGGCCCGTGTGCTCAGATTTGGGTGCACGTTTAAGAACCGCAGGGGGTCGAAATTTCCGGAGCCCTCTACTACGGCGTCTCTCATGATCATATGGTGGTTTTGGGACGTTAAACCCCACATATCAAACAATCAACCGGCCCCAGCATTTTCGAGCATCCGAGTTCCCCGTAGCACAGTTTGTACGTGTGTTGGCGCTACGTTATCAGTCGTTCTAGCGATGGAACTACGACATCACAAAGCCTTCTTTCCTTAAAAGGAAGATGGTCCTTTTTTTTAAATTTGCTAGACCATATAATCTGTTTGTCGGTCTGTCTATATGTCTGTCTGTCACACGATTCAGGCTCCCGGGAAAAGTTCAAGCACTTCCTGAATGTTCAGCCATCTTGAACTGGTGGCTTTGTGAACATTGTCGACGATCAAAAATAAATTATTACGCATATCTGAGGTGCATCGTCAATACGTACGAATGAGCTGGTGTGTTCCATTACTAAAAAAAATACATATATACGTAATTCTGAAGAACCTACTGTTTCTTAGGCTGCGCTGAAAATGTATGCACGAAAAAGCCCTCTGCCGATTACATGGTGCTGCCAACTACGGCTGACGTCTACTTCGGCGCTCCAGAAGTTGATGCGGACAGCCATTCACACTACCACGGAATAAAATGCATTAACGTCTCACAAATGGTTCTTCGCAAACTATCACACAGTACCACACGTGACAAAAAAAACATTGCTGAAATATCGTGGAGGTACTAACACATAGCATGCCAGCAGTGATATTGCCGTAAAATAAAACATGCTCAAACAAACCACCATTGTATTTATCATGCCCGGACAGAAATCGTACGAGAACAGCCTCACGGGTGGCTGCGGATGAGACCAGGACTTACGTAGTACGGCCAGCAGAAGACAATCGTCTTTCGACGGCATTTGCAGGAAAGCACGGAGACAAGCCGATAATTATTTTTTTTTTCAAAGATTACCACGGGGTGGTCACGCCTCATTGTTGTCTGCAAGCGTACGTATTCTTAACGAGGAACATATAATTCAGGGGATACACAGTCACTGCTACTAAAAGCAATTAAGCTAGTCACCCAAAGCGAGAAAGGAGGAGCGCTAAGGCAATACCTTACCGCATTGGCGTGCCGTATTTCCGTAACTTGCCGAAAGACTCTAATGTCTAAACCATCTATTGCCTAAAGCCGCACATGAAAACTTCTTACGTATACGCGCATACTGACCGAAATTCACAGTGATACAGCGCTGACAGTTGGTGCACATAGCGCCAGGTGTCCTTATTGTGTTATTTCCGTAGGAAACTCCAGACGTAGTCTTCATATAGAACGGTGCCCGCCCACTCGCTCCATTTCATTGCTCTCTGTGAAACTCGGGGAATTCCCTATGCAGGACGTATGTGAGGTCCATCGGCGGCGGCGGCGAGGATCAAAGGAACCCAGCGAGCCTAATAGACGACTGAGAGGTGAAACTAGCCGTGTATATATATATATATATATATATATATATATATATATATATATATAAGTGCGTGTGTGTGCGTACGCCACTTCCTGGACGGTTCGAAATGAAAATGTTCAGCAATCTCTGAGAGTTCCTGCGCGATCGCATGAGTACGCTCCTTATTTTGCGGCCCACAATGCATATATATTGCGTCCGTTTATTTGTTCGCTTTCAGTTTATCTAAGTTTGCTTCGTGTCCTGGAATATCCGCAACGCTGCCAGTTTGTCGTGGTATTTCGCTGGATCGTTGCGAGATTTGATTTTTTTTTTGCTTGGTGTTTCTTCAGCGATCAAGCTCGAATGAATTCGCACCCAATGTTGTGCCGACCCATGATCGACTATACGCGCGTAGTGCTGATAGTACCATATATGCGACTGACCTTCGCACACCGTTCTTCTCTTATTCATACCGACCTCATTACTTACCTTTGACCTCCACCCGTGAAAGCAGGCGACTGGACGCACGGCCAACGCCTCTGCGTAGCGGCCGCCCTGGTGCGCCATGTTGCTGTGGGCAGCTCGCTGGCCAGTATCCAGCTTATCACGCTGAACCGGTACACCAGCGTTGTGAAGCCGAGGTCTTACGCCCGCATCTTCAGCCCCGGCAGCTGTCTCCTGTTGGCCTCCGTGTGCTGGGTGCTGCCAGCGGGACTGCTGCTGCCCGCCGCACTTGGGGTACCCGGCGCCAGCTTGGGCTGGGACAAGAGGCTCCAGAGCTGCACCGTCTTGCCCAGTCCCGTTTACCGGCCCGTGATCTACCTGGGATCGGCGCTGTTGCCACTGCTGCTGTTTGCCGCCTGCTATCCGAGACTCTTTCTGGCTCTGCGCCACTCGCGTCGAAGACTGACATCACACATAGGAACGCTGCAGTGAGTAAAAAAAAAAAAAAATAACAGCCCTTTTCATCATCATCATCACCACACACTCATAATCGAGGCTACTCATTCGGAGCCGTTAAAGAGATCGACGAACTCCGTTTACGAAAAAGACCGCTTCTGAAAAGGAGTTCGCTCTGTGCCGTGTGTCTGCTGTCAGGAACTCCTTTTCGGAAAAAGACCGCTTAGTTAAAAGACTTTTAAGTGCCCGTGTGACAAAGGTATTAAGCCCTACGGCCTCTTAATTGTTTTGCAAATCAATCTGACCCTGTCCTTCATGTGGCAACGATCACGGCAAGCTTCTTAATCGCATTTGCTCAACAAAGATGTCTAATACTTTTACATTTGTCTCACTTTAAACATTTCATGCGCATTTAATAAAGTTTTCATTCGCTTCACTTCACACGGGATTTACCTGATGCTCTTGACTTCTAATCGGCATCAGGAGCATGGCCAGAAATCATTTTCCGAGGGGCAGAAGGGGTTCCAACCATACATTACATATGTTCGAGCGCGCATTTGTATGTGCACTTGTACATGTGTACACGTGCAAAATTTATGAAAATTTGGAAGGAAGTGGTCGTTGTTCACTCCCCCATCCCCTTCAAGCAACAGCCCCACCTCTTTAATAAAAAGAGGAGGCTAGGCCTCAGTCAACGCAGACGTTTGCAAACAATGGAAAGATGATGATATCGTTATTTGATTAGCAAAATAAAATGTGCCCAAATGGTCCTCAAATGCACATTTCTTTTTAAACCTTTTTCTGCAGTTGCCGGTGCAAGAAAGGCGTTATTGCCAGAGTGCCGTCCTTTAACAGTATCGGTTTGTCATGGGCGTTACACTCTTAAGATTAAAGTGGGGTGAGCAGAGGGACTCGAGCATTGTAACTATACAAAATTCGATGGTCGTAAGAGCCCAAAACAACGACGTGATTGCAAAGCACGCCGAAATGAGAGACTCCAAATTTGTCGCGCACGTAAACCCAATCAGACGTGCGTTTTTTTTCCCCTCCCCTTTGGTCCTCAACGAATCGGGTGCAAGAGGGCAACTTGCTTATAGCAGTGTGGCTGGCATCCTTTCAGCAAAGCCACCTCGGCTCGCGCACATTTAGAAGGAGGCGAAAATGCTTGAGGCCCGTGTGCTTAGATTTAGGTGTGCGTTAAGGAACCCCAGGTGGTTACCGGAGCCCTCCACTACGGCGTCTCTCATAATCATATCATGGTTTTGGGACGTTAAATCACAAATGTTAATATCATATTATTGGCGGGCACATTAAAACAAGGTGATGCACACAACGTAGATTATCCAAGGTATAAGTAAACTGGTAGCGTAACTTCCATAGAAGTGTGGCAGCCTTGTGTAGTTGGTATGACATGACGATAGTTATAGCACGAGAACAGAACGACGTGTCCTTCGTGTACTGCCTCTTTTGTCGTCGTCCTGTTTTCGCGCTATAACTATCGTCATTCCATAGAAGCCCGTGAATCCAGTAGTCAGCGGCTCGTTGCCACGGTCGCCATCTGTGTGAGGAGGGGACAACTAACAACAAACAAAAAATAAAAGATGGCTTGACAACCGGAAGTGGTAGTGACGTCGCGCATTTGCCCTACATGGCGCGAAATTAAAAATTTTCTTAATTGCTAACCTTTTACGTGCCGTTAGTTATCGCAATTTTATTGCACATTGTGCCTCGATAATTGCATGTGGGAGAGAAAAAACAAACAAAGATTGAGGAAGCAAAGTTGTTTTATTATCCGAATGACGTACTTGCGATATGCACAAGAAACTTCGCCGAGGAGGCAATTGTGAGAAAACTGTTCACGAGCACGACAGTATAATAGTTCGAAAACTCACGTTGCCCAATCGTCGAAAACCATTCCAGGAGAGGGTACGCCGGCCGTGCGCCAGCGAAAACAGTCGGCAGTCACAGGAGCGGCTATCTACACATTCTGTGAGCTAGTTGAGCTCTGGAATGTCACACCAGTGAACAGCACATAAAAAAGTAAACAACTGAAGTACGCACGAAACCACCACGGAAAAGTGAGCGACGCCTCGTTGACCTGGCGATGCCCCGAATCAAAGAACACGCCGAACCGTACACACAAACTCTGATAGCAAATTGCGTGGATACGCCCCTTACCCTCCCCATTTATGGCACTCGACGAACAATTGAGGCAATCAACCACTTAACCAGGTGTGAGATACACCGGAAAGTAAGTTTATAGTTAACTTTGACATATATAAAATTACGACTCTTTGAAGAAAAAAAATATATTGAGTAGTTAGTTTTGGTTGTTTGTCCCCTCCTCACATATATTCGCGCTTTGATCTTCGGTGGGCGTTGATGCCTGTGGCAATAGGTTGCCGACACTTTTCGTTGTTTCGCGACCCATGTAGTTTGACCATGGTTTCTACGATTATTCTGAACTAAGTACGCCTTGAAGGGCGCGGCTGTTCCCAATTGAATCATTAAGTGAAAGGTGCACTAAGGCTGTATTCGACCGAGTTACACCTATGCAAAATGCTGATAACAAGGGTGTGTGCGTGTGTGTTTGCTTGTGTAATAGTTTTCGACAGAACTATACCTCTTGGGTGCATGTGCGCGGCATCGAAACATATAAATGGACGTCACGCACTATGCATATGAACTGATAGGTGAAATTTTGTTACGCACGTCTATACAGGTCGATAGCGATGCAGCCTTCGACGAGCGCTCCGGACTTGAGCCGGGAGCCGATGCAGCCGGCACGTTCAAACTCGATCTGCGCGGGCCGCGGTCGAGAGCGTCAGCTGCTCGGGGTGCTGGGCGCCATCCTGTGTTCCTTCTGCATCTGCTACCTGCCGCTACTCATCAGCGTCGGACTGAACCAGACGCCGCCACTTCTTGTGCACGGCCTGTTCTACGCGGCGCCGTGCATCAACCCGCTCGTGTACGTAGCCATGAGCCGGGACTATCGGAGGGCGTACGCGGCCCTCTTCTGTTGCGGTGGCGGTGACGGCGGGAATTCGAACGAGGGTTGACCTGCGAAGCCGTAACTGGAGTCGGTGACAAGGCGACGGAAAACATCGAAGCGTTTCTTTCAAGTTTCTTTGGTGTGAGCCGGTGGAATTTGTCCTTGACTGTTACCAGCCTGGCGTTATTGCCGGAGGAAAAGAAGACCATTACACCAGAGGCCCTAGTCTTTGTATTGCTGCAAATGAATACGCGCTCATTGGAGTCCACTGTGCAAAGGACAACTCTATTGATGAACACACGGTGACCGGTGCATTTGAGTGGAGTTACTATTCTAGGGCCTCGTTGGCTTCTGCGGCTCGCCGGGCATCATGGAGGAAGAGGCATGGTCGAAGGTTGCCAGCTGGGCACCAAGTCCAGTTTGCAGAGTCGCGTCTCCTACGGTCGGTTTGCGAGTGAGTCCGTGATCAGAACGTACAGTGCGAACATTTGCAAACTTGACATGTGGGATTGATTGTTTGTGCAATTCCATGATGTTTAACGAAATTGTGACGTCTACTCGAATGATACGTTCTTTCGCGCTGTCTTCTCTTTACCATGAATATTAAGTTATCAAGCCGGATGCCCGTGTCATGTTCGTGTGGTGCATGACCTCTTAAAAGCAGCGCTGCTGGTTGGCGTGCGCATAAGCCATGGCTCCGTGACTCGCGGTTCTCCGCACTCGTCAGACACCTTTTGTCTGGCGCAGCATAGCCTCAGTTGCTTTGGCGCCACAAAAAAAAAACTGAAATAACTGACTAAATTGTAATTCTGCGTGGTGCCCTGCAACAAACTGCTAATCTGCAGAGGTGCTGCCGAAGCCCATTTATCTGGAATTTCGACGTTACGAAAGTGAACATACGATCGGGATCTGTCTCTACCGTTCTCCATTGTGTCAGCAGAGAAAGCAGGTCTCAAAAACTGCAGAAAACCCACACCCCCTCGACTCTCGGAGGCATGCGCTGCTCTGTTTACACCTGTACACAACGGGCTTCAAGAGTTCTCAGTACGTTTCTCGCACGCATTTTTATGATCGAAAATTCTGGTCCAGAACCATTACACCATCAAGCAGAGGATGTCATGCGGACGGCGTAGAAGAGACTCGTCACCAATGGGCACAAGTAGGTCAGTGCGACCACGATAGGTTGGGTCAAAGGTTGTCTTCAGACGGCAGCAAAGCAACCTGTGGATGAGGTGTACGAGTTTGTTGAGGAATCGAACTTGAAAGGGTGTTTTCGACAGGGTATTCACAAATAAAGCCACTTTAGTCATCACACATTGTGTAATTTCTTCAACGTGCTGTGTAAGAGTCAATATCCGCGGTCACAGCCTCTGCTCCGCCAAGATTGTCCACCATGAAGGTACAGCGGCGAATGCAGTGCACGGTCGCTGACCTGAAAGTCGCGGGTCGATCCTGGTCTCGGTTGCCGTAGGGAAAACTTGAAAAAGAACCAAAAATATAGCTGAAAGTGACCAAAGTAGTTTAGCCATTTAATTTTAGCGACAAGTTTGTAGCCATATAAAACAAAGTGATATTATGGAACGATGCATTTTTGGTTACATCGCGGTATCAAAGACGCTGAAAAGGAACACAAATGTTTGTGTCCCTTTCGCCCTCTGTCTTCGTCCATTTGGCACTGTGACCAAAAATGAATCCGTACCAACTAGCCTCACTTTCAAAATTATCCCAATTTATTATGCATAACGTTCTTAGCATTCAAAAGTGAATAATGTGATTTTGAATAAGCGAAAACGGTAGTATAACGAGCACAGTATTTTCCCCTAACTTCTGGTTTCCACGAAACAGGTAAGTTGCGAACAAATTAATAAATTATTATACTTTCGGTGCGCCTGTGTACAGTTTTTCTTGGGAGGCTGCCCTGCTCGGTTCTTCGGCCTTGGAGGGCCACAGGGCATCGCGGCCAGGGCGCGTTCTCTGGCTTCGATGCCCCACGGGTCTCAAACTAGGGACTCCTCCTGGAGTTTGCATATATGGTCGGCCCTTCAGGCTGGAAGGAATAACGTCGAAAATCTAAATTAAAATCATTAATGTGACCAGGACCCTTCCCAGCGGTACACCAGATATTATGTTACTGAGAGAAGAAGAGAACCTATTTGCGAGTGTGAACTGAAGGCTACAAGATTACAAAATGCCCAACTCACGAAAAAGTTAGGCTGTCAATTCTAAGGGCTGGTAATTTTGCAATACCACGACAACGTGCTACACGGTCGAACACATTAAACTACACCTGAAAGATGCAGTCAGTTCGAAAAATATCATTTATGTTAGAATGTAAATCGGTGATGAATTCAAGTATTATTGTTTCATGCGATAAAGTTCTGCAAAAAGCATGCTGACTATATATATATATATATATATATATATATATATATATATATATATATATATATATATATATATATATATATATATATATATAAGAAAGAGAAGTGTATACCTAGGGGCTCGTATTTCCGTGTTTTAACACAATATTAATGAGATATAACAGACAGTAATGCCAAGGAATGTACAGGGGAAGTTATTAGAACCAATGGAATGTAAATAAGAAGAAAGAAAAGTGGATGAAAAAATAACCAGCCGTGAGCAGGAATCGAACGCGTTATTCGAAGGTCGTAGGTTCGATTCCTGCTCACGACTGGTTATTTTTTCATCCACTTTTCTTTCTTCTTATTTACATTCCATTGGTTCTAATAACTTCCCCTGTACATTCCTTGGCATTACTGTTATATCTCATTAATATATATATATATATATAAGGGGCCACAGCCGCCCCATCCAGGCGGCCGTGGCCATCTGCCATCTCGCAGGCCACAGCAGCAACGGCCCAATGGCCCTCCCCCTTTCCTCTCCTACGCTGCCCGTGTTTTCTCCCGAGTCGGCGGCCAGGGCAACGAAACGCATCAGTTAGTGCGGCAACAACACCACTACTACTACGCATCTCCCCTTCTCTCTAGTCGGCGGCGAAGGCAACGAAACGCTTTCACAATATGCACGATCACTTGGTAGCCATTGATCCTGGTTCATGCGGGATTCCACGCTTCCGCGAGACGTTAGCACAGGATTACAATCGATGTCCCTGGCATTAGCGTAGAGAGACCGGCCTTCTAACAGTGCTATTCTGGAAGGCGTTCTGAATGTTGAGACACCTGCTTAAAGGCAAACTCCGACGATTTTTTTGACCATGTTAGGATAATGGTGCTTTTATGTTCCTTAGACACTCTTCTCACGCGCCCGATAACTAAATACTTAAACTTGAAAACAATTGTTAATTACCGAAAAATCCCAATACCGAAACCCAACCGAGTGCACTTCTACGTGTGACGTAAAGATTTGCCTGACGCTGCCGGAACCTGCCTGATGGCACATAATAGCCACCAGATGGCCTTACATGTCAATGCCAAGCGCCGGCCAAACCCACAATAGCAGACCCTACAGTGGCTTAGAAGTGTGGCAGCTTGGGCTAGTTGGTATGGCATGACGATAGTTATAGCGCGTCGTTTTGTCCTCTCGCTCTAACTATCGTCATGCCTACAGTGGCACATCAGTTCGTCACTTCTGCCAGGCAAAACTCAACGTCACACACACAATGTTGCCATTAATTCTGGCAAGCTATAAAATTGATTTGAAAAGAATATGCGAAACTCTCAAGCCTGCAATTTAGCATGAATGGCACAAACGTGCAAATGAACGTACCCAGTGAATTTCATCGAGATCCACTTGCTTCGAAAAATCGCCGGAGTTGGCCTTTTAAGGCGACTTACAAGAGTTTCCCTGCACGCCGTTGTCAATCTCCCCTATTACCCTATTTTTCGCATTCACACGCGGTTCCCTGTAGCGGGAGAGTGTCTTTTCCTCCCCCTCCCCCGTAACGCCGCGGATGCCGTGTTCATAGTGTACTAGCACACCATTTTGGCTGAACAAAATGACAATGAGCAGCTATCAATTGCCAAAGTGCATTACCATTCACCTTTGCTAGCTAGATTGTACGCAATACGGTAAAATATTGTCAATATCCAATGGCACCATGTGGCATAACGGTGCGATTCCAAATTAAACATTTTCTCATGAAGTTTTTTTGCTGAAGTACTCTAATGTATGTACACTCGCATACCAACATGTACACACAAGCACACAGACCCTATAGATATTCAACTTTTTACAGCGAAAGCTCTTACAAGACCTCAACAAGGGTCGTTCCACCGGAGTTTTCCAGTGTTGTCCGTAATCAGCTATAACAAAAAAAAAAAAGAGCTTGGTCTTGTTACCAATTAACTGTGGCTTACAGTGGCATACCAACTCCCAAGTGGGGGGCAAACAGCTGAATCTATATATATATATATATATATATATATATATATATATATATATATATATATATATATATATATATATATATATATATATATATATTATATTATATATTTTACAATGTAAGAAACCACAAGGAAAGGAAAATCATCACAGCGGCAATGTTGGCAAAATTTCGCAATGTTGTAAAGGAAAACTACCCCTTACTTGCTGGTTTCCCCAGCAGCACAGTGAATGCCTGCCTACTACACAACGATTTAAGGTGCAATGAATACCTTGCAAGTGTGCTTGCAGGAAATACAGTTAAAAAAAAAAGCCTCCGAAAGGGCACTCTTCCAGCTTTTGCTATGACAGTGCTGCACGTTCCGTGCAGGCCTGGCTTTTTTTTAATAATGGGCCTGTGTTAATGGCATTTAAATTTCATTTAAGTTCCCCTGCAGAGTGAATTCCTCCTTTCATGTGGATGATTGACTGAGCCGATCTTCCAATAACACAGAGTTCCAGGTTCGCTGCAGGGTGACTGTGCAAGGAGTTTTTTGTGAAAGTAAAATGTTCTACAAGCTCACCATTTCCATAAGTGAGAGAGTCTTCATCTGCTTCCCAAGATACCGCCGAGTTGATAAATGTTTTTTTTTACAAATGCACTGATACAGACATTTCCCACAACAGCTGCAGCTTATCTAGGCACACCACAATATGAAGGGCAATCAGACATATGTGATGAAGCAAATCCAGACATGCACTAGTCCCATTCCCTGCATGCTATCACAGCAACAGCATAGCACACCAGAATCCTCAATCCATTGAAACCAGCAGAAGACCAATTATAGACCCATTGTAGGCAACAATGTTCGTGTTCACTGCATAGAAGCAAGCAGACTAGCTTCACCTGGTGAATATTACCCGACAGCAAGATAATACCAGAACCAAGCAAGTTTGCAGCGGGGCACTTGGGCAACGAGTGAAAATACTCCTGTTTTATTGAGACTGCGCATGGGCTGCGAGTGGTGGTCCCCCCTTCCCCTCGAGGGCACAGGTTAAATACAAGGGCCTGCTTCTTTTATATGTACACCGCCTGGCTTCTCTCCCTTGATTCCCAAATCCCCATTAGCTGTAGAGGTCGTCGTCGTCTTCTTGAAAGTTGGACGCTGGATTTGGATTGCTTCCACCAGTGCCGCCTGGCCCAGCCGGTTGGGATGGTGGGAATCTGAAAAAGAAAGAGCCAGAAGGTCACGCAATGGCCACATTCGAGTTTTGCACCCAGAGGCTGTTGCAATCTAAGAAAAAATGGCTTTGCCCATAACGATCACTGTGGCTCCCACAGATTCGCATAAATGCTCATTTGTGTGATATCAAGCAATTATTGAGCACTTTAGATAGTTGACTCTATGACACAGGCACCTTGGTAAACTTCAG